AGTGGTAGTGGCAGTTGTTGTTGCACTGGGTAGTGGTAGTGGTGAGCGGTTGTTCCACTGTGTAGTGGTAGTGGTAAATGCAATGGCATTGGCAGCGGCGCCTGTAGTGGAAACAGCGATGGCAAAAGGCACTGGCACTTTCAGTGGACGTACGGACTGTGATGATGATGGCATTGGCGACGAAGGTGTAACGAATGGTGCAGGTTCCTTTGTCGCCGCACTAACGGTGGCATTCGAGAGGCGGGTTTAATTGTGGCGGGCATGGCGCCGACAGAAGTGGAATTCACGGTGCCGTAGCACGGTTGGAATGTTTGCGGTACTATTTACGGTATTGCTTGGTGGACGTGGCAGTGGGAGTGGTGGTGGTCGTGGACGTGCGAGAGAAACTTTACCTGTAGCTCACAATACCGAACTGGCATAACGTAAAACGCTCGGCTTGGCATTAATCCGTTAATCGCCATGACACCAGTGCTCGCCCTTCGATCGGCATTCCATAGAAACTGTTGGCACGGCCAGATACTTGGACAGAGCTGGCGCATACGAAATACAACCACGATGGCGCAGGCAAATCCGCCGCCGCGTTTGCAGCGATTGGCGTGTACGGTCTTTGTCATTTCGTACGTAGCTTCTCGCGAAGCCGAATATATAGCCCCCAGACGCATCGAGACCAACATGCGTCTACTTGTTGGAAGGAGTCCGTGCGCAGCTGGCCTTGCAAACCACACGCGCCCCCCAAATCAGAAATCTGGAGGACACGCTCAATAACAGCTCGTAAGATATTGATCGGACCTGTGCCTTGGAGGTGCTGGCAAATACATGGCGAAAATCGTCGCGCCGGGAAGGAACATTCCAGTCGTTTCGCAAGGCGACGCTTCATGGGGGGGGCACGCTTTACTTCCATGTGGTTCCGCCGCAATTCCACCGGTTTCCGCCAGCGCGTCCTCCATCGACTTACTCCCACTGGCTTCCACTGCCCTTCCACCGCCATCCGCCGATCAGGGGAAGCCGACGTCTCGATTCCTCAATGGCGAGGCCGTTTCTCGCAGGTTGGGGCAGAGGCGGGTGGCGCATCTTTCCGAACCACCTACGCCACCGCATGCCCGCAAACGGCCTGTTCCCTCCCCCCCTCCCCTCTCCTCGTACTCCTCCTCCTCCTCCTCCTCCTCCTCGTCCTCCTCCTCCTCCTCCTCATCCTCCTCGTCCTCCTCCTCCCCATTTGTTTTCTCCTCCCCCTCCTCCTCCTTCTCCCTTTCCTCCTCCTCCTCCTCCTCCTCCTCCTCTTCCTCCTCTTCCTCCTCCTCCTCCTCCTCCTCCTCCTCCTCCTCCCCTCCTCCTCCTCCTCCTCCTCCTCTCCTCCTCCTCCTCCTCCTCCTCCTCCTCAGCCGCCCAGCTCCTCTTCCCGTTCCTCCTTTCCCTCCCCCTTTTTCCTCCTCCCCCCCCCTTCTCACTCCTCCCCCCTTCCGCCCCCCCACCCCGCCCTCCTCCGATGCATTTATTATCTGCCTTGTCGTTGCATTCCCCGTCCGCATTCCCCTCGCTATCCCCCAGAGAGGCGGCAAGAGAGCAAGCGAGCCGCGCCCGACCCTCGGCCCTCGCAACCCTCCTGCCCATGCCTGTATTCCTACCCATTATGATGCTGCTCCTCCCGACCGTCGTCCTCCTCCTCCTCCCCCTCCTCCTCCTCCTCCTCCTCTTCCTCCTCCTCCTCCGCCTCCTCCCCACCCCGCCTTGTTCATCTGCGTTCCCCCTTCCTTTCCACCACTTTCCACATTCCAGACCTTCCTGTTATGCGTCGTCCTCCTCCTTTCCTCCTCCACCCCCTTCTTCATTCGTCCTTGTACCATTCCTTCTTTTTTTTTGACCAGTGGAAGCCGCAAAACAAGAATACGGCCTACCTGACAGCGCAACGGAAAACGACAACCCCAGCAAACGAACTGGCACCACGCACAAGCCGCAGGAGAAGGACCCGGAAAAGTAGGGACGGCAACAACCTGCAACGCGACGATATCGCCGCCAAGACGCCGCCCGAAACCGAAACGGCAATTTGGCTGTCATGCTTCATCTCAGGCGGAGGCGCAGGAGGAGAAGAAGGAGGAAGGGGAAGGACGAGGAGGGCACAACAATGAAACCAAATCATGAAGACGCTGGTCTGAGGAGGCCTTGAGTCGAACTGGAGTCGAACCGGAGTCAAACTTGAGTCGAACTTGAGTCGAACTTGAGTCGAACAGATACATTAAGTGACTGCTGGGAGGTCCCCACATCGAGGATCTAACATGGGGGTCTCTGAGACGTCTCTGATGATCCCCCTGATCGCCCTAGGTGTGCTGGGAAGGCTAGGCAAAACGCCCTGCGAGGCCAGGGGGGCCGCTTCGAGGCCCGTCCGGAGGGTCCCAAAGCCCCAGATCCCGGGAGTCCAGATTTGGGGGGGGGGGGGGGGTTCCCCCCGCCCGGGCTTATAAAAATATAGGAAGAGGAATAGATTCCTCTTCCTATATTTTTAGAAGCCCAGGCGGGGGGACGCCGATTTCAACCATTTGAAAGCCTTACGAACCCCCGAGTTGTCGATGGATGTCTGCATGCGCGCGCGACGACGCGCGCAGGGCGGTCGAGCGATTCCGAAATGCGCGCGCGAGAGGTCCGTTTGGTAACAAGGTATGACAAAAAGGTTGGATAATCGATGGTTTGTTTAAGAATTCACAAGAGCGCGAGCGCAAGCTGTTCTGCAACTTCTTGTTGCGACACCACGTGTTTGAATGTGTTCTCGGGGCACTCGATTTTGAAATCCTTACGAAACCTACTGTGTTAGACTGACGTCGGCATGCGCGCGCGACGACGCGCGAGTTCGCATTTCGTCCCGATGTTTTGCGCTAGGGATTCTTACAAGTTTAGGATATGTGATAAACAAGCGTGCGCGCATAACACTTGTTGCAAATGATGAAGGGGGAGACGGGTAGCCGCCTGCCTGGGATAATACGAAATCATATTCAAGATGGACGGTGGGGCCAAACCATATACAACCTGCAAGATTAAAGGTGAACCGTTCATTCCGGGGGGGGAATCCGAATTGATACTGTACTCTTTTCAGAAGGAGAGTCTATGCGAGGCGAAGGCGGGCGGGCGGCGACGCGGCGGCGACAAGGCGGGGATGGCAACGACGTAGCCGCCAGACCGACCCGCAGGCCCAGACGACGGGCGACGACGAGGCGGCGATGGGGCGGAGACGGCGACGACATGCCCAGTTCCGTAGTCACTACAGTCCCAGCCTCTGCGGGGGAGAAGTTGCAGTCGCGATCCCATCCGAGAATAATGATAGAGAATCGGAGGCCCAGCGAAGCCCTACTGGTGGCGGCAACCCACCACCCAGGCGCAAGAGAGAGATATAGAGGGAAACAAGAAGATATTGAGAGAGAGAGAGAAAGAGGAGAGAGAGAGTGATATAACAAAACAGATAGAGAAACAACGGAAGAGAAAGGGTGAGCGCGAGAGAGGGGGAGGAGAGAGAGAGAGAGGTAGAGAGAGAGAGAGAGAACGAGAGAGAGCCAGAGAGAAAACAAACATATGCGCAGAGAGAGAGAGAGAGGAGAGAGAGAGGGAGGGACAGAGAAAGAGAGAGAGAGAGAGACAGAGAGTGAGACAGAGAGTAAGAGAGAGAGAGGAGAGAGAGAGAGAGAGAGAGAGAGAGCGAACAAAAGAATGAAAGCGTGAGGGTCCAACGACGTCGCGCCCATCCAGACGGGCGCGGCAGCGAATGCCCCCCCCGCCACACGCGGTCAGGAGGACGCAGCCGATGCTGCTGAGTCGATGCTGCCATATGCTGCTGCACGAGCGCTCTCACTGACAAGCTCTTGTCTCACCCCCGGTGCGCAAGCACTTTGCTGACGGCACGACGTGCGCGCGCGCGGGAAGACACGTTCGACGTCGGCGGTGTTCGGAGAGGTAAGATCGGGGAGCCCGGCTCGAGTGTCTCGCTCTCACCTCAGTTGCTCGAGCTACGTGGTCCCTCGAGCTACCTCGAGGGTACAGGGCCCCTCCAGGGCCCCAGCTCTGGCCGAAACGAGCGCGTTCCTCCACGGCGTCGACACACGACGACGACGGCAACGGCGGCCGCTGCCAAATCAGCCCTGCACCGACTCGGAAAACCTTGACCGCATCGCCCGCAACCGTATCACGGCGAATCGCTGGCAAACCGGCCCCGCAGCCAGATCGCGCGAGAGCCTACCGAAGCGGAAACTGGATCGCGAGCGGGTTCAATCGAAGCACGAACTGGATTGCGCCAGGAGGAGGAGCAGCAGCAGCAGGAGCAGAAGGATGGCACTCTGGAGAAGGACCAGGTAGAGCAAGAGGGAAAATGGCAGGAAAGCCAAACCGCCGACCAGCCGACCCGAGCGGCCATACCGAACCAGTTCGAATCTGGCCCCGCAATCCTCCAGACTGGGACGGCGCCTCCTAAGGGCCCCTGCAGAACCGCCCCACCCCACCACTTTGCAGAAAACGCAGTAGGCTACTTCTACCTGTAGGTGTATCTCTCTCTCTCTCTCTCTCTCTCACGCACGCACACACACACACACACACCCGGGCACGTCCCGCTGGGCACCCGCCGATGCCGCCCCCCCTGCACCCCTGCAGGGCACCCCACCAAGGCACCCCCCCAGGCACTCCTCCTCCTGCTGATGCTGCTGGCAGCTGCTGCCGACCGAAATCGCATCGGACCGTCGCCCGCCATTGGCGAGGCCAGGAGCGACTCATGTGTCACACGCATCAATCTCGCAACCGAATCGCCGCGGGAAGTTCCTCGCATCCACACTGCAACCTCAACGATATCCGCTCCGCCGGACCCACGACCGCAGCGGCGGCGGCAGCGATCACGGCAGCGACGACCACGACCACGACGGCGACAATGGCCACGGCGACGACCACGGCGACCAGGGCGGCGCCGGCGACGCCGACGGCAGCCGCGGCGGCGGCGCCGTTCATGGCGGCGGCGGGCCCCGCGGAAGGGCCTCTCGCGGGAGCTGTGGCGGGCGTGGGTGTCGCGGCGCCCGCGGGCGCCGCAGGGGCCCCGGCGGGCGCCGCCCGCGCTCCGGGGGCAGCAGCCGCTGGAGCGGCGCCAGGGGGTGCAGCAGCCGCTGCGGGGGAGTCGCGGTGGCTCAGCCGGGTCACGCGTCAGTCGTCGAGCGCGAGCGAGCGACCGAGCGCGCACCAAGCAGTCAGAGGCTGGCCCTGATGGGGGGAGGGGCGGTAGGCTGCGTGCCGGCAGGAGGGCCCGCCTAGGGCAGCCGACAGACAGACAAAGAGAACGAACTAGAACTACGATTGCTCCATCTGCTACTGCAACATCCAGTCTGGAGAATCTCAAGACCGTCTGGGGGGAGGGAGGACGCCATGGACACACTGCACTCGTCGACGCAATGGCGGAATTCGACAATGCCACGAGAGGTCGGGCCGGGTCAGGTTCCCATCAGGGACGCCACAGGCACAAGCTGTCGCGCTCGCTCCAGCCCGAGACCTCGTCGCCATCGGACAGACAGGCATAGGGAGCCAAAGAGAAGTAGAGGAACAGACCAGCTTTGTGGTTTTCGTAGCCCCAGGGAGAAACGGCAAGACCCCTTCGGGCAGCTAGGGAGCTCGCCGAGGTCTTCAAAACGTCGGCACTATGCCCCGAGTGGCCTCCTCTGTGGGCCACGCTGTCCCATGAGCCAATCCATCCCCGAGGTTCCCTTCGGAGCCCACTCGCCGAATGGGCGGCCGAAAGGTCTCAAATCCAACAGGGTGCGGGGAGCTTGACTCGTTCGGCGGCCGAGTGGGCTCGACCCCAGGTCCACTCGGTGTCCGCATGGACTCAGACAATGGGGTGGATCGCTTATGAAAATCGCACGCGCAGAAGCTCAATAATATCGTCTTTGCCATGCTTGTCCTTCAACCTTCCTTCAATCAATCAGAGCTCCCGTCAGGCCCAGTCTCCAGACCCTTCCCAGGAACCATCGCGACCAGTTTTCCGAGCCGCTTCCAGCTGTAGCGACGAGGGGGCCTCGCCAAGGCCCAGGAAAGGAGGAGAAAATGCATGCACGCCCCCACAAGTGGCTTCAGGTGGAGGTTTGAGAGGAGGGAGAGGTGGCAGGGGGGCCAGGCGATAAGAGGTAGGGAAGGCTACAGGCCCTACTCATGCTCTTCCTCGGGAGGAGGAGGAAGAGGAGGAGGGAGGTTACTTCAGAGAATACGCCCTCCAGAACCTTTTTACGGGGAAGGAGAAAGCCGAGCCAAATCCAGAGGCAAGAACTGGATTGGCATCGCGCGCACCCGAGCAGCGAGGACGGCGACGAGGGCGAACGACGACGACGGCGAGGACGACGGATGGCACGACAACGACGACGACGACGACGACGACGACGACGACGACGACGACGACGGACGAACGAGCACACTGACGCGACGCGAACGACGACGAAGAGCAAGAGGCGAGGAAGCCCAGGGCGAGGGGGAGGAGGAGGCGAGGGGGCGGAGGGGAGGGCCCTCGCACTCGCCACCGTCTTGACGTGGCGCCCTCCTCACCGCCTCGTCGTAGTCGCCCTGGCTTCGCTGCCAACTGTCGTTACCGTCGCGTCGCTGTCGCGTCGGCACAGGACGCTACGGTACGAAAATCGATGCACGGATACCCGCTGGCCAGTTCGCGAGCCTGCGCCTTCAGAAGGAGGGTGTCGGGCATGAAATCAATGGGTCTCGGTGGCCGCTTGTACACCGCATCCCTCCCCCGAGGCCCAGGAACAATCCATTGAGGGCGTCCGTATAATTGTTGCTTGTTGTGGAGCAGGGCTCGAGCAAAACAATGTTTCGTTTTCGTGTTGTTCTCGTGTCCCTTCATTCTGTCGTCGTTCCGGCTTTGCTGCGAAACGAAATAAAAAACGACAACGGCTCAAGAAATCGCCAAAACACAGTTTAGCTCGAGCCCCAGGGCGTGGTGGGGCCAGGCGCCATGGAGCGTCGCAGTGGCCCTCATGCCTCCTGCCTCTCGTTTTTGCCGCCCTTGATCTTCAGGAGCTCCTTCTGCAAGGCGACAGCGGCACTCCGGGGGATCTGCGCCCCGGTCGCCGTACGCCAGGTCCGAGGGGATCTACATCTCCCACCTGTCGCCCTCGACCATCAGCTGCATGGCCTCCGTCCAGCCCTTGATCACCTGCTTGGGTGCGAGGGTGGTGGGCTGACCCCTGTCGTACGAGGAGTCGAACTACGTGCAGTCGATGAGGGTGCCCTTGTAGTGGCACTCGCACGGAGAGTCTGGGGGCGGGTGGTGATTCCCCTCGCCCACCCTGAGCACCTTGCACAGCAAACCTGACTTCGGCGTGATGACGCCCCCCTCCTCGCCCTTCTCTTCGAGGAACTTCGTGCCGGCCTAGTTGGTTGCCGAGGCGTGGCCCCCGAGGAGAGCGATCAGAATCAGCGTACGGACATACATATTTAAATCAATATATATAACCTAGCTCCCGCCTGCCGAGGCACAGAAGGGTCTGTGAAGACCGGCGACGGATGCCCAAGAGAAGGGAGAGGAGTTGGAGGGCGAGATGGAGGATCGGATCGGATCGGCAGTCCACGCAGGCCTCTCGACGAGAAGACCAGCAGGGAGGTGAAGCATGCAGAACTTCAGCCCTGGGCCCCCAGGAAAGCGGAGGGCGCGGGACCGCGCGGGCCGCCACTGGGCGGGAGCTCTGGGGCCGAGCTGCTCACATTACAGCCAAAGGCTTCTCCTTGGCGTGCCGCGGCGGCGGCCCCGGCGACTCGCCGTGCCCTGCGAGGCTGGGAAAGGCTCCGCGGCAGTGACGCCTGGGGGCACTGGGCAGCGCTCAGCGGTGTCTAGCCGAAGCGCGGTGGGCCAGAGGTGGCGGAGCAGCACGCTGAGAGAACGTTCCCGACCGCAGGTACGGAGGATGAGGGGAGGAGGAGAAGGAGGAAGGGGAGGAGGAGGAGGAGGAGGAGGAGGAGGAGGGGGAGGAGGAGGAGGAGCAGTGGCAAGGCTTGAAATTGCACAGGCAGGCCCCTGGAGGTGGTCGAGGCTGGCCCCAGCAGGCCGCCAGGGCAGTCCATGGCGGCCCCAGCTCCTCAAATCGGGGGAGCAGGGCGCCCTGCGGTGGTCTCCGCCAGGATTCGGAGCCGAGGTGCCGACACCCAGCCAAGAGTTTCCTGCCCAAGTCTCCGAGAACCTGATTTTTCCCAACCGTCCTGTGGTGTTGGGTCCTCATTGTAAAGAGACAGCGCCCCGCGTTCCAGCTTCTCTCCTCTCCTCCTCCCACCTCCCATCCCTTACCTCTCCCCTCCGCATGTCCTCATCGTCATCATCAGCCACACAATAACAACCATCATCACAGCCACCAGCATCAGTCATCAGCATCATCACCACTATCACCATCACCATAACCATCACCATTACAATCACAATCGCCAGCCGCACCATCATCATCAGCAGCATCATCAGCATCATCATGTTCATCGTCATCATCATCATCCTCATCATCATCATCATCATCCTTAGTATTACGGTTACCACACTATACTTACCATTACCACTAGCATCATAATCAGCAGCAGCAGCAGTATCATGATGAGCATCATCATCGTCAGCATCATCACCATCAGAATCAGAATCATCGGCAGCATCTTCATCATCATCATCATCATCATCATCATCATCAGCACAATCTACATCCTCATCACCATTAACATCATGATCGGCATCATCATCTGCAGCATCATCAGCATCAGAGTCATCAGCATCAACATCAGCATCAGCATCGGCATCATCATCATCATCATCATCATCAGCATCATCATCATCATCATCATCATCATCATCATCATCAGCATCAGCATCATCAGTATCATCATCATCAGCAGCATAATCAACAGCGTCAGCATCAGCATCAGCATCATCATCATCAGCATCATCATCACAGTCACCAGCAGCATCACCATCATAATCCTCAGCATCGTCCTCATCATCACCATCAGCAGCATCATCAGCATCGTCCTCATCACCACCATCATCATCAGCTTCATCATCATCAGCATCATCACCATCCTCATCATCATCATCATCATCATCATCATCACCATCATCATTATCAGTATCCGTATTATCATCATCAGCATCGTCGTCTCCATCATAACCATCATCACCACCATCGGCATCATCGTCTGCATCATCATCATCATCATCATCATCATCATCATCAGCATCATCATCATCATCATCCTCATCATCATCAACATCAGCATCATCATCGTCGACATCAGCATCATCATCATCAGCATCCTCAGCATCCTCAGCAGCAGCAGCAGACGCATCATCATCATCAGCAGCATCATCAACATGATCGTCATCACCATCATCATCATCATCATCATCATCATCATCATCATCATCATCATCATCATCATCATCATCATCGCCCTCGCCGTCACCATCATCGCCACACATGTCGGCCTTCCGCTCACACGCTTCGCGGTCCCATAGGGAGCTCCACCGAAGGCCCCAGTGGCAGGGTTCGCATTAGATTCTAACCACAATTTCGGCACACCCCTCACACGTTTCGTGGCCCCACAGGGAGCTCCACCGAAGGCCATCGAAGGCCCCAGTGGCAGGGTTCACATGCGGTTCCAGCCCCAATTTCGGCACGCCCATCACACGTTTCGTGGCCCCATAGGGAGCTCCACCGAAGGCCCCAATGACAGGCCTCGCATGCAGTTCCACCCCCAATTCCGGCACACCCCTCACACGCTTCGTGGCACCATAAGGAGCTCCACCGAAGGCCCAAGTGGCTCCGTTCGCATGTGGTTCCACTCCCATTTCGCCACACCCCTCACACGTTTCGTGGCCCCATAGGGAGCTCCACCGAAGGCCCCAGTGGCAGGGTTCACATGCGGTTCCACCCACATTTCGGCACACCCCTCACACGTTTCGTGGCCCCACAGGGAGCTCCACCGAAGGCCCCAGTGGCAGGGTTCGCATGCGGTTCCGCCCCTAATTTCGGCACACCCCTCAGGCGTTTCGTGGCCCCGTAGGGAGCTCCACCGAAGGCGGTTGGCATACAGTTCCAACCCCAATTTCGGCACACCCCTCGCACGCTTCGTGGGCTCA